TTTTTCGACTTAAAATTTATGTTAAAGTTTTTGTAATACCCCAAATATTTTCAAAGTTCATTGACATATGGCTTTGAAACTTTGCACACTTGTTCACCATCATTACCCCAACCTGTAAACAGGAGGGGGTAACTGTATCAAGCATCTTTTTTACTATCAAGCACTGAGAATAGTCGAGCGTTGCTGTCCTACCGACAGCTCTTTTTTGTTCTTTTTTTATTTGTTTGTTTGTTTGTTTGTTAACTTTGTTTAGATCGGTAACATATGAAACAACGCTGCATCACATCAGTGACATGTTTAACATCTTTGCACTGGTGAGCTAGAAGCGGACAAGAATGACGAATTTTTAAAAACATTTATATGTAAGAGAAAACGTTTAAAATGTAATTAAAGGCCTTAATGAGTGTCTTATGTTTTAACATATAAGACAAAACATTTATAACGTTACCGGTATTTTTAAACTTGCGTTTATATTTTTATCGGGAGATAACAGGTAACTCTGAATAATGCGTCCAAATAAGTAAAACCTAAGATATTGTACCGCGAAGACCTTTAATAAAAATGGATGATTATTTTCCCCTAGATATCATATATAATATGCACATATTTGCTCTATAGACGAGAGGAAAATCATCAAAAAGTACAAGGGAGATAATTCACAGTCTGTGACCACGGCATGCATCCACATCTTTATTTTTATTGATTGATGATAATTCTGATGATGACGATTACGACGACGACGACGATGATGACGATGATGATGATTAAGCTTGAAGTCTACAAAAAAATGTCTGTGTGTAAAGTTAACTAATGGATGATAGTGATATATGAGTAAAGTCTACTTATAGATGCAAAAGAGGTTTATGTGTCAAGTTAACTAATAGACCAAAAGGGTTTGTGTTCAAAGATAACCAGTCTATTTGTCAAGTAATTATATGAAGGCCAAAGCGATCTGTTATTTGGTTAAGTAAATTGGAGCAAAAGCGGTCTGTTGCCAATGTAAGTAGTAAAGACCGGGGAGTTTAATACTAAAAGATTTTCTTGCAAATTTGGCAAATACTTCAACTGGAACCACAGTCTTGGTATATTCTCGGATGTAATTAAGATACGTGGTATATTCTATAACAAAACTGGCACAAAGGCGCAGGGCCTTATCTATTACCCCGGCTTAATTTAATCTCCTGTTTCTATTCTGTAACATTATATATTTTCATTAAATGCTTTTGATGAGTAGGAAAATACGTTTCTCTGGCCATTTACAGTAATATACTTAGTGGTTTTATATTTTGAAGGCATCCATACTAAAAGGTAAAAGAATGCAACGTTCTCTTGATTCAAATGAAACACATGAATGTACCAATATAGAGATCATATCATGTGTCAGAGTCTGAAACCCTGAATAAACACATGACTGGATGCCGTCTTCATTTCCTTACAAGCTAGGCACAAAATGCCTTTCCAAAATCACACTACCTGAACGTTTACCTCCACTGTACGTCAGACACTCACATTGATTTTCCCATTGACTTACAATAAAAGAAATGGTCCCTAATCCTACCTTAAAATCGAGTTTTCATCCTGATGAAGTGATTTTTCTTGCAGATTGAAATGCCTGACACATAAAAATGATCATATTATATAAAGGTAGCCAACCATTTTTTCCGCATAATGACTTCTAAGAGGATCACCCCAACCCCCGACCCCACACACTTTTTCATTGAAATTTTCTGCTGATCACAGGACTGACGTACACTTTTTGTGAATACAAATATCCAAGTCACAACTTATCATAGAGACTTATGAAAAATTCAATTTTCTTCAGAAAACAATATAGTGTTAGTCTCTTAATTATGTTTCATACTTAAAAATACTCCATTTTCATCCAATCACCTCATGTCCAATTGAATCTTACGGGTTTTCCTGTATTTTTTTAAAGCCAATCGCTGGCCATGTTACAAAACGAGAGCTTGACCTGTAACCGCACAGCACTCGCGAAATAATGTTTCAAAATTCCTCTAACCTTGACAAATGCAGTAACATTATGTATCACATATTTAATTCGTGAACCATTAATTATTTTAATGGTCAGTGTCCAGACTTTGTCTGACCCTAATATTTCTCTTTCAAAAGTAAACAATTTATTATTGTCCAAGATGTACTTACGCAGTATCATACTTACCTAAGTTGTATAATGTCTGAATGTCATAGGTAGAACTAGAACACTTATCAAGGACATCATAATAATTAGCATATCTGTGTATTATACATGTATAAATGAGCCGCGTCACGACAAAACCAACATAATGGGTTTGCGACCAGCATGGATCCAGACCAGGCCATCAAAGCCCTCTTGTTTATTAACACTACACGACCTCGGCAATAAGGAAACAGAAACGTTATTGAATTCTTCTGCTTTCTTTAATTTTTTATTTGATGATTTTAATTATCATTGAAAATAGTGTCGTGTTTGTCGACTTGTATGTCTGATGTTTTAGTAAAGGAATAAAAAATGTGTACTTATTAACCTTTTAATATGAAGACGATGTCTCTAAGTTGCTGCTCCAAGTGTATAGCACAAGTACTGCTCTGGTGGCCCCTAAACTTGTAGAACGGTATAGCGCTTAACTTTAAAAAGGTATTCGTACTTTACAGTTCTCGAACAAAATAATTGACCCGCATTACAAGTAGAGAAACTGACAGCGAACAGCATGGATCCTGATCAGACTGCGCGGATGGACAGGCTGGTCTTGATCCATGCTGGTCGCAAACCCACTATGTTGGTTTTGTCGTGACACGGCTCAAATTATCTTGAAAGTGGCAACTCGAGCTTCCAGTCATCGGTTCTGTATGAGCATCTTGTAAGATAATCATATAATAATTTAATTATCACTGAAATCATTTTGATTCGTATTACACAAATGTATATAACATTACCCGAAATTGTTTCAAAAATTATCTCACGCTATCCGGTGGCTTGGCTAAATATCTAAATTCTGAAAATAGAGCATTATTCGTTATTAGACGACTTAAGTAATTAAGAAGGAAGGAAGGAAGGAAGGAAGGAAGGAAGGAAGGAAGGAAGGAAGGAAGGAAGGAAGGAAGGAAGGAAGGAAGGAAGGAAGGAAGGAAGGAAGGAAGGAAGGAAGGGAAGGAAGGAAAGGAGGGAAGGAAGGAAGGGAAGGAAGGAAGGAAGGAAGGAAGGAAGGAAGGAAGGAAGGAAGGAAGGAACATAAAAATATCCATGTATATACATCCACCGCATAGAGGGTTTATTACATAAAATACATACACATCAGTGGCAAATTATAACGTACGTGCCTTGTGTTTAAGTAATTGCGTACATTAGTGACCAGTGGTCAGTTATAAATGGGTGTTACGAAAGATGATTCGTTTAATAAATTATGAATTCTTTCGGAATACCGTAACTGCCAAGTCCTTCGACCGAATTCATTGACATTTTGAAAAATGTGTCTAGATGGGGAAAAAAGAGTGAAAGTTAAAAACATTGCCCTCAATCCTGACCATTTCCCAGAATAATAAAAAATAGTTTAGTGTTTTGTATATATCTATATAATGACATAATTAAGCTGGTCCGTTGTATCTTTTTATATAAAAAATAACAAAAATTGTTTTAGAATGAAACTTTTTGTGCAATTATTTTTTTCGAACAAATGATTTAAGATGCATTGTTATCCTCAAGCTGTACTACATGTATTTATTCTGTTCAGTTCTATTAATATCATCATCATCATCACTACCACCACCATCAACATCATCATCATTATTATTATTATTATTAATTTTATCATTATTGTTTTTGTTGTTGTTGTTGTTTTTGTTATTATCATAATATTATTATTATTATTATTATTATTATTATTATTATTATTATTATTTCGCTTAAAATATATGTTTTGCATGAAATATCTCTGTTAGGGAGGGTGCTTCCTTCCCGCATTGTACTAACAAAATGATCTACTTGTATCCGTAGGTTACTGTGAATTACAGCGCAGGTTACACGAGTTAAATTTTATGAATATTATAAAAAAAGAATTAAAGTAAAACATTATAAAGCGAATAAAGAAAATAATTAACACATTTCAAACAGCACTTGCAATCAAAATAAAACACAAAAAGAGGTCAAAATAAGCAAAAATAGCTCTTACAGCGTTAGTAACGAAGGAGACGTTAAGTACTGCGTTAGTAACGCAATAGATATATAATGATAAATACTGAAAATCAGTCGCATTTAACATGTAAATAAATATTTTTTTAAGCTTTAATCTGTTAAATTTTCTTAAAATCTCAGTACATTTTTCTCAAGTTTAATTTTCTTGAGATATTTTGGCTCATCTGGAGGCATGTAGCTTTAAATCAATTCTAATACATGGTATATGGTATATATCTCGGCACCTTATTGGGAAGCTTAAATCTATTTTTCGTATACTTATAATATCATATATTTAACTTGCACCCTTGAATATAACGAGTATCTAAGGATTTATTTACTTAAACGTGTCACTATGGCAGTGTGGTAGTAGGTCAGTGGGACGAATTTGAAATCATTATATATATAAATATATATTACCTATCAACTTCAAGAGATACAAACTATCAAATTTAGAGTTTAGCAACAAATCCAAATATGATTTATCCGAAATTTCAAAGATTTACGTCAGAGTTTTAAAAACTAATTTATTACGAAACTGATACTTCAAATACAACGTCATCTTAAAAAAAAAAGAAAAAAAGAAAACTTACGAAACGTTATCATACCCGTCAGTTTATCAGGGGAACCCGAATTTCAGAGGGCGGAGCATAATTCTTATCCAATGCTTAGCCGTTATAAAGTTTCTCATGTAAATCTGAAATGTTTTCTTTCGTTTTGCTTCATGAATATTCAAATTTTGGTCAGCTGTTTTGTCAAAATGGTCACATGTAAAATATGCGTATAAATACAGCAAGCCAGTCATTGTCCGCATAATGCGACCAGAGTCGATGTGAAAAAAATATTCACGCGCTGTAATTTTGATAATAAATCTTTTCTAGTTTATACAGTCGAGAGTTTGTATTTTCAAATTGAAATAAATTTATTTTTTATCAGGTATGAAGAGAATTGCAATTGTTGGCGCCGGTTGCAGTGGCTTAGCGGCGGTAAAAAGTTGTCTTGAGGACGGTTTAAAACCCGTCTGCTTCGAAACGGAACCGGACATAGGCGGTCTATGGAACTATTCAGACGATGCTAAGGTCGGAAAGGGCAGCATCTATAAATCATGTGTGATTAATACCAGTAAAGAAATGATGGCATTTAGCGATTTTCCGCCGCCGGAACATTTCCCTATGTTCATGCCTCACAAATACGTACTACAGTATTTTAGAATGTACGCTGATAAATTCGGACTGTTAAAACATATTCAATTCAACACATCAGTGCTGCGGGTTGTGCAATCAGATAAATACGAATCTGACGGAAGTTGGGACATCACTGTTCGTCGGGAAGGTGGAGACATAAAGACAGAAACATTCGACGGAGTGTTAATATGCACTGGACATCATACATTTCCCTATCAACCAAACTTCTCGGGTTTAAGTCGATTTGAAGGCACAACACTACATTCCCATGGATACAAGGAAAATTCTCAGTTCATCGGCAAGAGGGTCGTTGTCGTAGGTAAGTAACTGTAATTGTCATGCTAGAATAATTTCTTACATAATTATTATTCATATAACTAAGTGATTATATAACTATTATTATCATAAAGTTAACAAATTGATTATATAACTTTTATTCTCATAAAGTTAACAAAGTGATTCTATAGCTTTTATACTAATATATTTAACAAAATTATTCTATAACTATTATTACCATACAGTTAACAAAGTGATTATATAATTATTATTCTCATAAAGTTTACAAAGTGATTATATAACCATTATGTTCATAAAGTTAACAAAGTGATTATATACCTATTATTCTCATATAGTTAACAAAGTGATTATAACTATTATTATCATATAGTTAACAAAGTGATTCTATAACTATATGATACTCATATATTTTAAAAAATTCTATCATTATTATTCTCATAAAATTAACAAAGTGATTCTAAAACTAGTATTCTCATATAGTTAACAAATTAATTAATATAACTATCAATGTCACATATGATTCTATAACTATTATTCTCATATAGTTAACAAAGTGATATTAGGACAGCTTTAGTGTAAGAAAACTTTAGTCAGTAGACTTCTTGTAATGAAAACATTTTATTTTGAGTTTTAACAATGATCGACTTACACTAAAAAGAAATGTTAAATCATAATGCTTAAACTTTTCATCCAGACAAGTTTTATTGTGTGTCATAAATAGTATATCTATAGAACCGGCTTAATAAACTTTTAAGTCTTTGATCGTCAACAAACTGTTTATGGTTAAAGCAGCATGTTCCCCAGATTCCGGCTAATTTTCATGAAAGTTTTGAAAATGTATTTAAAAGTAAAATATTATGAAGTGAGCAAAGAAAGTAATTTACACATTGCAAACACCACTTACAATCCATGTCAATTACAAAAAGAGTCAAAATATGCAAAATTTCCCTTACTGTTTTAGTCACACAGAAAAATATGGTGATAAATACTGGAAAATCAGCCATTTACCGCAAGTAAATTTTTATTACTTGAATATTTTTCTGAAAATCTTTTTTTTCATATTCTTGAAATATTTTGTCTCATCTGGAGGCATGCAGCATTAAGGAAACATCATCTTAAGACTGATGCGTTGTCCGATTCGCGGCACAACTTGCCTATCAATCCATAACCCGACAGGATAGCAGTAATGTGTGTTGTCAAATTTGTATGATGAAAATTCATGAATAGAAGTAGGCATGACTTATCAATAAACTATTCCAAGATTTAAAAAAGGACTGAATCTTTCTATCTAGTAAAATACCTTGTAGGTGGTAAGAAAAAGGGAGGCATTCTCAAGCAGTTATGTTATGAGATATTGTTATGCTGCTCTATTGATGTGTTGATGTGTGTGTTTAGTGGATGTCTTTGATTTTAAGTGTGTAGTGTGCGTTTTCTTTTTTGTTGTTTTCTTTATTCAAATCGTTGTAGCGTCAATGATGAAACTATGGTTATCAAAATAATATTAATTAAAACAAATTATCAAACGTCAAACATCCGGAATATAACATTTCAAGGAGTTCCACTGATGCAAATAAATGAAATTCTTTCACCGATTAAATTACGGAAAAATCTGCCAAAGAGAATTAATGTATGTAAAAATATACTCAGTATATTTAGCTAAAACAAATCTATATTTGCAAGAATTTTAACACGGTTTGATTGAAGGGTGCAACGCTTTTAATTTATTTCATTTTATTACTTATTATTATTTTTTGGTCATTTTGCACAATAAATATATTTATTCTGAGAAAACGGAATGAGGTTATGCAAAAAAATTATAAGTCCAGACCTACATTAAATGGTATATACAAGTCTTGTGAAAATATGTCAAGTCCCTTCGTATTAAAAGGAAAACCTCAGTCGAGTCCCTTTAATAATAAAATTATTGGTTAATCATTATTTTTTATTTTTAAAACATTTTTGACCACGAATGGATGAAAACAAGGTTAAAAACCTGAATAAATAAAGAAATAAGACATTCTTTGGCAATTAAAATTTGCAATTTATTGTTTTTTGTTGTTGTACCATTTAAATACGATTGTTGTTTATCAAGAAAAGGATTTTTATTACATTTTCTTACGCACATAACCGGAAACCCACAATGTCGTTAACCTATTAAGAGCCCATTTGCGGTTAAAAATATTGTATTGTTTTTGAAGGAAGAAAGCGGATTTGTTGCGTGCATGCGTGCGTGCGATTGTTTGTTTGTTGTTTCAAGCGGTGCCAGGACCCGAGGACTAAAAAATACGTAATTTTACTCATAATTATGTCTATATTCATGGCTAAACGGCGATTCCAAGCATTTTTGGTAATGCTAATAATTGTTAAAGTATTAAACTTAAAACTTTTCATCATTTATTCCCGATAACCATTTTTACCATAACACTTGTTTCTTTCCACATTGCCAGTCGAAAGCGATAAGCTTTACTAGACTCGACTCCTGGTAACTCTTTGTTATGAATCTTGATAATTTTGAATGAGCTGTTTAAATTTCAATGTTGGGCAAATACGTACATGTTTATTAATTCGGCAAGTTAAAAGTTTTGAGAAATACATCTGAAAATATACATCTTGTCTTGTATTAATTTTTATGCCAACGCCATAAGTATTAATATATATTTCGCAGTTTTTATCTATTAAAAAGCTATTTATTATGCAATAAAAATATGCAAGTCTCTATTTTCATAATCAAATGGGTCAAACGTTGACCTAAATTTTGAGAGATAAATCGTCTGTTGTATGTCGGCCAGTTGGTCAGTCACACCATGTACATGTGTATAATATAAATGACACATCTTTCTTAATGCATTGGGCATAACATTACCCAAACAGTCGTTATATATGCAACCGTCAATATGACCTTGGTCGGCAATAATGGTGGGGTGTCGGGCGACAGCTTAGTAGATGAGCCATGAGCCATATCACAGCTGACCGGACAACAGCTGCAATTATATGGTGTTTTATAGCCGGCTCTCGGGGAATTTGCCCAACAGAAATCATGCTCTTAATCTGTGCAATATGTAATGTCTAATACTTTACTGTTCCAAATTATCATCAGCGTGTGGGGGCGGTATTGACTGACCTATTCCCCCACTGACTCCGAATATCTCTTAATCGAAAATTTCAAACAGAAGAAAATAAATCATCAGCAATCAAGTTTACTGTGTTCTTTATAAAAAAAATTTTGCGAAGCGTCTCATTCAATCGAGTTGACCGATTGTTCAGCAGAAGAAAAAGAAAATATGCCAAGGCCACCGGTTTAGACAAGTTGTCCTTGATAGCTAGCCAATTCTCATTAACATGACAATACTGAAGGCCAGTCACTTTTGTCCGGCTTGTAATGAACCGGATGATGGACGGGGGCAGACGCTCGTTCTGAAATTTTATACTTCTTTCTTTGTTAGATTTTTGATATAAAAATCTCAACATTAATACAACAGATTAAACATAATGGTTTTTATTAAACGGGGTTTAGTTAAAGAAAAAATAACTTTGTGTACCAAATATGAAAAGTATAATGATGTAAGAATTAATTATGAAATAACCAAATAACCAAATAATAAAAAGTATAAGAAATTGTATTTTTATTTTTAATGAATAATCATTTTATGCAGTGGTGCAAACGAGGATACTGTGGTGATGGTGGTGGTGGTGATGATGATGGTGATGATGATGATCATGATGATGATAAAATGATAGTGATGATGAGATGATGATAATTATTAGTAAAAACAAAGTAATGCTTCAGATGAGTTTGATAGTAACAATGATGACGATGATAATCATGAAGATAATGATGATGATAATGATGATGAAGATGATGATGGTGGTGGTGATGATGATGATGATGATGATGATGATGATGATGATGATGATGATGATGATGGTGGTGGTGATGATGATGATAATAATGATGATGATGATAGTGGTGCATCTTGTTGATATGGACGAGTATAATTAAATGAAAATATATATTTACTTTCAGGTATTGGTAATTCTGCAGTTGACATTGCCGTTGATCTTAGTCACGTTGCGTCTCAGGTGTATTTGTCGACACGTCGAGGCGCGTGGGTTATCAGCAGAATGGGATTCTGGGGACTTCCGGCGGATGCCATGGCAAATAATCGCTTCCTGTTCTCACTTCCGCACTCTGCACTCGAATGGAGCGTTGAAAAGATGGCCAACTTTAGATTCGATCATGAAAGCTACGGAATAAAACCAAGACATAGGTATGCAGCTTAAAATGTAAATAAGTTCAAAACATTTGATAAGTGCATTAGTAATAGAAAGATCGGATTTAGATGTTGATATGACTTTTGCTCTCTTTTTTTATTTCAAACGCCCTTTCTCAGCATTGTATCACTACGCCATATTTGAACTACTTTCTTTCAGAGCTCTACAGGCGCACCCTACAATAAATGACGAGCTTCCATATCGAATAATGACAGGCGGTCTACGAGTCAAACCTAACATTCATCATTTCAACGAAAACTCAGTCCAGTTTGATGACGGCTCCGTCGAGGTAAATAAACTGATAAACAAGCTATTTTTATGATGTTTTAATGTTGCTTATCACAAACAAAACGTTTTAGAAACGAGCTGTTTCATTGACTCACTGACTTATCATAAACGGATCTGATATTTATCAAATCGAACAAGTGACGTAGAGCAAGCTCAATAAATAATCACGATCAAACCGTAAATATTCAACATTGAAATAAGCATGCACACCCTTATTCCATAACAAATAAAAAGTTAACTTGCATGCTTCAGTTGAATGAACTTAGACTTATCTGACAGGAAATGACTAAATATATCACCAAGAAAAACCGGAAGTTTGATTAGCATTACAAGCGTTTGACTGAGTCAGATGGTTTTCATTCTTTACAGGAAGTAGATGCTGTGATATTTGCTACCGGATATGAATATAAAATTGGAATCGTAGACGAGTCAATCACGAGAGTAGAGGGAAACAAAACGTCATTGTACAAGTATATGTTTCCGCCACACCTATCCCATCCTACCTTGGCAGTAGTTGGTCTCGTCCAGGCAATAGGCGCCGTAATGCCTATCTCAGAAATGCAATGCAGATGGTTTACTAGAATAATTAAAGGTAACGAAATGGCTGGTAAACAGACATTTTCTTTAGCATCAATATCATTAAATATTTTGTCTTATAACAACTTAAGAATTATTTTAGACCGCGTGGTACATGGATATGGTAGACACTTTCATTGGTCTATGTATCGCACAGAAGGTCTTCAAATAGAATTATGGTGACCTTGCTCCTAGTGGGAAAAACGATTTCCAATTTACGGTTATCAGAAAGAAATGTACATGTACCTATCTGCCTAAAATCTTGATAGTTTCAGCTATTTTGCTAGGCTTTAGAGGCGTTGAATGTATTTTTATCAGACTGTTTAATGGTTGCTAAGAATTTTTATGTAGCCTTCATTGCTAAATATAGTTTCTTCATTTATTTAAAACGAACTACAGAATACATACAATGATGCCCTCCTTTTTCATGTGTTCCTAATGCACGAAAATCAATATCGAAACATACTTGTAACTTTGATATAGTGACATCAGCATTAATATTTGTCAGGTGAAAACAAATTGCCGCCTGAAGACGTAATGATGGCAGACATAGAAGACAAACGAGTGACCATGGCTAGCACATACGTTTCCTCTCAACGTCATACTTTACAGGTTAGTAGCGGTCAGCGCTCTGACCCCGAAATATTTCCCCAGACTTCACAGGCGCAAAAAAACGTGATTGTTTTAAAAACTGTTACAAAAAACGTGTTAACTACGCAATAAAATATTACACTACATACTTAATTTCTTCAGATTGCACTCTAGTTGTTACAGCCTTGATAAAAAATCCAAAAAGTCTTATACTCACGTCTGTGACGTCTCTTTCATTTCATATGTTCTTTGAGTTAAGTACGAATAATTTTAGAATTTTAACTTTTAATAGCTGAAATATTAAAACCTGATATTGGTATTGTTGCTGCTGCTGTTGCTAGTGCTGGTTAAGCTTTTGCTGTTGGTATTCCTTGTCCTTGTCTTGAATTATGTTTTAAATTTCTTGTTATCTTTTAAAAAGACGGGTTTTTTACTTGCAGTGTTTCTGGATTCAATATATGGACGACATTGCGACCGAAATTGGTGTAAAACCAAAATTAAAGGAAATGTTTATTGAGGACCCGATGCTGGCCCTTAGATGTCTCTTCGGTCCATGTGTTCCAACACAGTACCGTTTACAAGGCCCCGGAAAATGGGAAGGCGCGAAAACCGCCATTACAGGCACGATGTCAAGGTCATTAGCACCAATGAAAACGAGGCTACTGCCAAAGAACTCCTGCTTACCTGAATCTGTAGATAAATTTGTGATTTCGGTACCAAAATATCTTACGTCTTACTTCTTCCTCGCTTTTGTCTTTTTCTTGTTCTTCTGTATGGTTATCATGTGAGTTTATTTAGCCGAATAAACTCTTTGTTTATGAAATCGCTTTGCAGAAAACCACAAAACGGGAATGACAAAACTGCGTGACGAAGTCGCTACTTTTGGAGATATTGAAGTGCGTCGAAACGAAGCATTTACATTGCAGTTACATGTGAGCCAAATAATATGCAACATACGTACTTAATGCAAAGGAATATGTTTCGAACTATTTCTTACGCAGAGACGATCTATTTCTCACGTTTTGACGATCTATTTCTCCCATTTGAAGATCTATTTCTCACGTTATGACGAACTATTTCTATGGCAGTGACGAACTATTTCTATGGCAGTAACGAACTATTTCTCAATCTGCAACGAACTATTTCTTACACTGTGAAAATACTTTTTACACTGCGATGGTCTTTATGTACTGTTGTTGGTAAATATTGCATAATCACCTGAAAATATTTCATTTGTCTCATCGATTATTGATTTTAAACCTGATTATTTATGTAAGAGCTTAAAGGGCGGAAGATATGATGACATTGTTTAACAAAATCAAATGATGTCTTATCCGTTTTCATGTTTATCTAACGTCTGCATGAATAGGCATATGCAATAATATGAAACATTTTTGTGATATATTTACTCGAATGCACATAATTCTATGTCTCAGTTGTGAAGGGCATGTAATGTCTTATATCATCGTGTTATTGTATATACATGTATTATAGTAAAAAATCAGCACTGCTGTTTGTTTATAACAATATATGTTATATATCCTTCATATTAAGCACTGTTATAAAATTTTGTTTTAATTATGTATGAGATATGTATTTTTAACATAATTAATTTGTTCTTCTGATATTTATTTCACAGAATAAAATTTACGCTAGAAATTGAAATTGTTTCATTATTTTATGAATATATTTAATATTTGAAACGTGTTATGTTATTTTGGTCTTTATGGAGTTAGAAATGATGAACTTTTTGATGACATCGTGGCTTGTTAAAATATACCAAAATATGTTTTGTTTTTGTAAATTGCTATGATAAAATATAGTATTTCGTAAAACTAAAGGCTGGAACAAATATGTGTCTGCAAAAATGAATAAGAGAACAACAAAGAGAAGAAGTATCTTTAAACAAGAGTCCCTCATGCGATAACAACGCTAACCTGTTAAGGACAAATACAAAATTCAATTTAAGAATATCATGCAATTATGGCTGTTATTTGCTTCGCTTGTCAATAAGATAAATGACTTTGTAATGGCGAAATTTTATAGCCCAAAGTGGTGATAATTTACCTCCGTGCAATTTCCATGGAGTATAAGCCAAAGAGATGAATTTTGAGCAGAAAGTAGGTAACTTTTTAGTGGTCAATAACCCGAGAAAATATGAAGTCAGGTAGTCCTGAAAAGGGATTTTGTTGCAAACAAAGGGCCGGCGTTCAAACCGTCTATAAATCGTTCTTAAGGCCCGCGAAACCTAGTACCCTCCCACGTTGTCTCTGCCTAGCTTCTGTTAGGGAATGTCAGACATAATCCCCTTCGGACAAATCCCCTTCGCCTACCCGGACAAAATCCCCTTCATGGGTGGACATAATCCCCTTCATTTTTCTGCAAGGCCGGACAAAATCCCCTTCACTACACGGACAAAATCCCCCTTTTTCATAGGTTTCTAATGTATTATAATGCTCCACAAAAATGGATGAATAATGTAGTATTATACTCCCTAAAAATTGATGAATAATGAACTTTTTTTTTATAATTATGTATCAATAGTTAACCTTTATTTAATTTAGAAGCTTTCATTAAAATTAAGGTATCCTATCAACTGCATAACACTTTTTTGATAAGGCAATTTCTTTAATTAATTTTTTTGTATGAAAAACATTTTTATTAGCCAATAATTGTTTCATTGATTGTATAAGTTGATAATTCTAATAGATATATACTATCCATTGTTACAATTTCTATTGATGAAAGAGTGATAATTTAATCAAACCAAGATCACTGCACTACTTGATTGATTGTTATGAATGCTTTAACAAAGCAATTTTAATGTGATTAAAATGTGCTAATTGAATGCTAATTCAATGTGCTTTTCTGCTGAAATATTTTCTACTTATTTATACATAAAGATTTTTACACACAGCATAATGCAGTGTCGCTATCGTGCCCACTTTATAAACCGAAAATTCCTCCGAGGGGGATTTTGTCCTAGGAAGCAATTTTATGAAGGGGATTTTGTCCACTTCAAAATTTCACACATGAAGGGGATTATGTCCACCCATGGAGGGGATTATGACCAGATATACAAAAATACACGGATGGGATTTTGTCCGAAGGGGATTATATCCGTACACCTCTGTTAGGGCATAGGACCGCAGGTAATATTCTGACAAATATTCCAGCAAGGCATGCGGCACTTCAAACTATTATCGCATCCAAGCTACATATCTTACCTTATGATTGATAAGGTATCGATAACTTATCAATCAATTTAATCAAAATCAACGCTACCAACTGATAGTTACGTGGGTCCAAATTATACCACTGACGTTAAATGCTTACACACGTTAAATCTAGTTACAAAAGTACTGGTTGTTAAATTGTAATATGCCCGTTCGCGTCAGAATAAGTTTGCAAAAATTAGTGTAGAGATTCATTTGTAAATAAACGCACAAAAATATTTTAACCGAACTAAACAGTTGATCCATATTTGATATTCATATTTTTTCCTTTATACGGTAATAACTTTTTAATCATTTTCTAGTTTGACAATACCGTAGTGTTAAATTTCAGAAAGGTCAGACAAGGGTCATTTGACCATGTCATTGTCCGGACTAAATGTCTCCCGACATGGTGTCATGCATATCATTAATATCATACGGTACATTTAAAATACATTTTAAATGACATATTATGACTGCAAGTTGCTATAATAACAAAGGTGTCTCGTGTATAAAGCGACGTGACATACATTGCATGTATACATAGCTTGGGCTGATTTTCAAATGATCTCAACCACCTGTACGTTTAATGAGTTTAATTAGAACATTGAAAGAGAGAAAAGATTTCATATTTTATGCTGTAAATAGATACGACTAGTAAAGCATTTTTTAAGTGAAATTTTACATCAGTGGGGAAGCTGCGCCAAAGTATAAGATGAAGGGTGATAGGTCCGATGTATTGTAAATAGTTACACATATATTTTGTGGAGATCTTCTAATAATGTTATTTTTGACTCGGGAAAAACAAATTAAGGCCTATGAAAGGATGGGTGTGACAAGTTTCAGGGCATCATAATGCTTCGTCTTCCAGCATTATGGGAAGTTTAAGCATAATTGATTTAAGGTTGTAATGCTTATAATAATCTAAACACGTTATCGTATATTTTGAATATTGCAGAACTAGGGATTTTTTACGGTAGACCCAGTATGTTTATCGCTGTATATTATTGCAAGAAATCGTAATGTCGCTTTTGAAATTTCATATTTTGATATTTTTGTTTCGAAAACAGACAGTCCGCTTTGCCGATGTCCGGGAAGTGACTCTAAAAAGTAGGCAGGGACGACGAGGAGTGCTAGGGTGCATATGTCTCTAGCACAGAATACCTGCTTGAAAGACAGGTCCTTTGCCGGCACAACAGTCCTTTTCAGGGTTTACCTCCTTCTTTTCATATTGTCTCAGATGACTGTATATTTCGATTCTCATTGGCCGTCATACAGCTACCTACTTTTGGCTCAAAATTCTTATTTGTGGCTAATACTCAGTGGAAATGCATGGAGATAAATTATCACCACTTTGTATTTTAAAGATATGACTGTTGACATGTCCGAGGTCCGTGCTCGACAGCGAAAACTGCCTTTTTTGCCTGAACGGACGGATAGACCCTCGTGTAAAGGATAAAAGATGAAAACGTGGCATTTGGAACAAAGTAAACACGTGCTTTTGAAGTTTTTCACAATTAGGTAAGTCTGAATTTGATCGTATCATGTCACTGACAATTGGAGCACTATAAGAGCATACAATGAACATGTAACATGATTATAGCCGCGAAAACTGCAGACAAAATTCTTCTGTCATCAGGAGACGCAATACCTATCGCCAATAATAAATACGTACATAAACAACGACTCAGATGAACGGAAGCGCCCTGGTGCCAATCTATAATGATTGATAAAAAAAACTCCTACGTAAGGGAAAAAACATGACTACGACAATATAACTCCTACGTAGGAGATAAAAAAAACTAATGACTTTGTAACTCTTACATATAGGAGAAAGAAAAACATGATCAGAAGTATATAAAGGCCTAATTAATAGTATATAACTCCTACGTAGGAGATAAGAGTAATGAACTCCTTTACACAAATTAAGATACTCCTGTTATATCTATACTATTTATTTTCATTTCTGGTTGCGTTTTATGTAGCACCATCACAGCTTCACATTATAATTTTTATTATTATGTCATATGGCGGATTTCCAGCTTTACTGTGGAGGAATACCTCGGGTGCATTATTTCAGGCACAAACGGGCGCCTGAGTAGAACCACCGAAGTACCGTAAGCTAGCTGTATAGCTTCTTCACATGACAGAATCCAAATCCCTCAGGATTCGAAACAACAGCGCTGAGGGGCAAGTTGTTTGAAGTCAACTATCTAAACCACTCGGCAATGGACACCCTTACTATTTATTCAATTATTTATTCAACATGGCATGGACACTAATGCGACTACTGTACCAGCTTGAGTTGGCTTTAAACTTGTTTCCTAAATGGGCGAAATATGTTACATATGTATAAGTCTGAACTGTTGGAATCACTATCAAACTAATTAAACGTAGTTTCAGATAATTGTGCACAAACGGCCGGGAATCAAATCAGGGTTCTCAAAACCCGCAGTCCTAGAGACGGCTAGACGAATTTCATTTCAAAATGATTTTTGAATTAAAACACCATTGCGACGCTTTTTACGTTGCGTAAACAACACTTTGTTTCATTATGCCACAACCCATCTAACACACCGATTTGTCCAAAAAAAAATATTCCATTGACGTCAGTTGAAATTGAGTAAACAATAAAACAGTATCGAAAATATCTTGTTTACAAAAAATGTTTAATAGTTTGTAGCCGGATAATTTAACATTATCTTGATTTACATCACTTTGGGGTGCTTTTTTTTTTTACTTTTTCAGACTTGACCGGTTCATAAAAGGTACAATGACCGCCTAAATTATGGCATAAATAGGTCAAAATTTCAACGTAACCCATAATTTAGAGGATTATCATATTCACTTCTCAGCGTGCGAAAACTTGAATCACGAAGAATGTAATGTACCTTGATGCAGGTCAATCTATATTTATATATATATATACACTTCATCTTTGATTTGTTCTGCCTTTTACTCTGAATGGGACATAATATCTGCACTTACGACAGAATCGACAGACTTGACATGAAACGAGCCCTGTGTTTTCCATTTTAGGCTTTATTCGAACTCTCAGAAAATAGAAAGTTAAAGTATTTTATAATTTCCATTTCTTTCTCCATAATTGTCTATTGTTATACATTGTACTCCTTTAATGAACGAAGTTGATTCATACTGGGACTATAAAAGCCTTGACCTATAAATGACCTTAACAGTCAAGGTTTAAAATGAATTTTTATGTACTTCCTCCAATCTGTTTTCGTTTGGAAGAAGTGGAGCGTGGCCGCCACGTGCCGTGGTTCTTGTTGTCTGTTAGTGCAATACGCTGTAAATGAGGGCGTCGTAAAACGCATTATGGTACATGTACCACAATGTAAATGTCTGCTTTTACAGTTTTATAGTTTGTTCACCGACAAAAAAGGCTGGCATGTCGTTTCG